GGGAAGGGGAAGGAGAGGGGAAGGGAAAGGAGAAGGGAAGGGAAAGGAGACGGGGAAGGAGAGGAGAGGGGAAGGGGAAGGAGAGGAGAGGGGAAGGGAAAGGAGAAAGGAAAGGGAAGGGAAAGGAGAAAGGAAAGGGAAGGGGAAGGGAAAGGAAAGGGGAAGGGAAAGGGGAAGGGAAAGGGGAAGGGGAAGGGAAAGGGGAAGGGGAAGGGAAAGGGGAAGGGAAAGGGGAAGGGGAAGGGAAAGGAGAAAGGAAAGGGGAAGGGAAAGGAGAAAGGAAAGGGGAAGGGAAAGGAGAAAGGAAAGGGGAAGGAAAGCAGGGAGGCCGGGCACAGTGGCTCACACCCGTAATCCCAGCTCTTAGGGAGGCAGCGGCAGGAGGACAGCTTGAGCCCAGGAGTTCAAGACCTGCCTTGGCAATATAGTGAGACCCTGTTATCCACAAAAATGAAATAAGTATAAAAAAGAAAAGAAAAGGCCGGGCGCGGTGGCTCAAGCCTGTAATCCCAGCACTTTGGGAGGCCGAGGCGGGTGGATCATGAGGTCAAGAGATCGAGACCATCCTGGTCAACACGGTGAAACCCCGTCTCTACTAAAACTACAAAAAATCAGCTGGGTATGGTGGCGCATGCCTGTAATCCCAGCTACTCAGGAGGCTGAGGCAGAATTGCCTGAACCCAGGAGGCGGAGGTTGCGGTGAGCCGAGATCGCGCCATTGCACTCCAGCCTGGGTAACAAGAGCGAAACTCCGTCTCAAAAAAAAAAAAAAAACAACAAAAACAAAACCCAGCGATTGATGGATGGGTTCTGTTCTCAGCCAGCAGGAAGGCTCAATGCTGTCCCCAAACCAGTGGCTCTGGTTCTCAAAACAAAATACTGATCACGACAAACCTCACCTACAAACCCTTTCCTCTTCACTTCAGGAGCCAAGGCGAACAGCCCAGGGGACCGCTGTGCTCCCGGACCTGTCACTGCCTTCCGAGGACCATTTCCCAGAGCTACTCAACTTTCAAGCCCACTGCAATCACAGCTCCTGGAAGGAGCACCAGCCACCCTGAGGACCACCTGGCCATGGACACACAGCCCGGGAAAGGACAGTAACTTGTGGGAGCTGCAGCCCTGCCACTAAGCCGTCTCCCGATACGGGCTTTGTGGGGCGGACACCTGGTGCCGAGGATAACCTGGCTCCGGGTGTGGACGATGGATGCCCAGGATTTAGGATAAGCGGTCACCCTGTCCGCGTAACCAAAACCATTCTCCAACACTGGTATCTGTGCCCTTTTTTTGCTATTAATTTGGATTCCTAACTGCTATTGTTGGTTGCTGGGGTTTGTAAGGATAAGCTTGGACAGATAATTTATAGAGGTGGAGCCATATTTAATATTCTGGATTTAGAGATTTCTGTCTTGTCTCTTAGAAAGCATTACATGTAGTTGATTTCACCATCCTGGGTAGGTGGAGCCTTGGCTGTTTCCCTAATGGGAACCTCCTCCTCCTCTGGGCCTCAGTTCACTTAGGAAGAAATGAGGCTGTTGCCATCTTTATGAACTTCCAGTGGAAATGTCCCTTGCTACGGACAACAGTACAAGTTAGAGTCTAGAGAAGCGCTGGCCAGAACGGAGCGGAGTAGGGCCTCGCCACGGTCCCCAGTCCGCCTTTGCTCCAGGGTTGGCCTCTGCGGAGCTGACTGGACAGGGATGTGACTGTCTCATGGGAAGAGTGTGAGCCCAGAGGGACCTTGAGTCAGAAATGCTGCCAGAGAAAGTGTCTCCTCCAACCGAAACATCTCAATAAAACCATTTCAGTTTAAAAGCCATGATTATCCTGTGTCTGCTTTCCCCTGCTTCAGGTAAAAAAAAAAAAAAAACCTTTTAAGGGGCCGGGTGCGGTGACTCACACCTGGAATCCCAGCATTTTGGGAGGCCAAGGTGGGAGGATTCTTTGAGCCTAGGAGTTCAAGACCAGCCTGGGCAACATAGCAAGACCCATCTGTATAAAAAATACAAAACTTAGCCGGGCTTGGTAGTGCATGCCTGTAGTCTGTCTGAGCTACCTGGAAGGCTGAGGCAGGAAAACTGCTTGAACCCAGGAGAGGGTTGCAGTGAGCTGTGACTGCACTGCCGCATTCCAGCCTGGGCGAGGGAGACCTCGTCTCAAAAAGCAATACAGAACACAAAACCTTAAAGGAATGACAGCCACAGCTCTTGTTTAATAAAAAGAGACCCTGGCCAGGCATGGTGGCTCACGCCTGTAATCCGAGCACTTTGGGAGGCCGAGATGGGTGCGTCACCTGAGGTCAGGAGTTCAAAATCAGTCTGGCCTAAATGGTGAAACCCTGTCTCTACAAAAAAATAAAAATAAAGAGACCCTGAGAGCATTAGGGCTGAGGATGGGACCTTGGTCCCCAAGTCCAGGCATCTTTCTAGGATGGCCCAGGGATTCTTCCCTTGAGAAGAAATTATCATAAGTTAGGAAATCAAAAGAAACATCCAGAACCCAACTGCCACCTGCCTGTTACTTCACCCCCTGAAGGACTGATTGCACAAGCTGAGGGGCAAGTTTCTCTTTTTCTTGAGACGGGAGTCTCGCTGTCGCCCCGGCTGAAGTGCAGTGGCGCCATCTTGCCTCACTGCAACCTCCACCTCCCAGGTCCGGATTCAAGCAATTCTCCTGCCTCTGCATCCCGAGTAGCTCAGATTACAGGCGTGCGCCACCATGCTTGGCTAATTTTGTATTTTTAGTAGAGATGGGGTTTGGCATGTTGGCCAGGCTGGCCTGGAACCCCTTGACCTCATGTGATCTGCCGGCCTTGCCTCCCAAAGTGCTGGAATTATAGGCATGAGCCACTGTACTGAAATGGGCCAGGCATGGTGGCTCACATCTATAATGCCAGCCCTTTGGAAGGCTGAGGTGGGAGGATCACTTGAGGCCAGGAGCATGAGACCAGTCCCAGCAATAATTACGAGACCCCGTTTCTTTTTTCTGAGATAGAGTCTTGGTCTGTTGCCCAGGCTGGAGTGCAGTGGTGTGATCTCAGCTCACCGCAACCTCCACCTCCCGGGTCCTGGTTCAAGCAATTCTCCTGCCTCAGCCTACCAAGTAGCTGGGATTACAGGCACATGCCACCATACCCAGCTAATTTTCTGTATTTTTAGTAGAGATGAGGTTTCACCATGTTGGCCAGGCTGGTCTTGAACTCCAGACCGTGTGATCCGCCCACCTCAGCCTCCCAAAGTGCTGGGATTACAGGTGTGAGCCACTGCACCCAGGGTGACACCCCATTTCTACAAAAAATTAAAGTTAGCTGGGCATCATGGTGCATGCCTGTAGTCCCAGCTACTCGGGAGGCTGAGGTGGGAGGATCACTTGAGCCCAGGAGGTCTGAGGCTGCAGTGAGCCATGACTGGCCCACTACGCTCTAGCCTGGGCGACAGAGTGACACCCTATTTCAAAAATCAAAACAAATCAAAAAGAGAAAAAAACAGTATCTTACAAAAAAAAAAAAAAAAAAAAAAAAAAAAAAAAAAAAGGCAATTCTACAAGTTAATATGAACACAGGAAGGGCATCACGGTGTTTTCCCAAGGGCTCTGCTGTACCTCTCCACTCTGCGGCTCCTTCTGAAAGGCTCACCGCCTGGCCATTCTGAGAAGTTGGTCTAAATAGGAAATGACGCAAACCCTGCCCTCGCCCCAGGAAAGTGGTCCCTTCAGGCTTCTGGAAGAACTGAGATGAACTGAGTTTACACCCAGGCTGTGTGTGTGACAAAAATAAATAAAAGAAAAATATAAAAGAACTGAGATGAGCTGTGTCTCCGATCTAATCGCCCTTCCTACCTGCAGGCTGCCAAGGCTGGCAGGGACAGGAAGCTGCTCTTCCTCGAGGCTTCACGTGGTCACTTTATGGCCGACAAACAAGGCATGGCTCAATCAGCTCAAATGTCAGCTCGCACACCGACCAGGTACCGCCCTCAGCTTCTCTGCGTCTTTCCGACCCATCACCGCGTCGCTGCGGCAGAGGCTGAATGCAAACACTCAGATGGCCCACAAGCAAACATGAAAACCACGGGAGTTTGGCATTTTTTTTTGACATGTAGTCCCTGTTGCCAGGCTGGAGTACAAGGGTGCGATCTTGGCTCACTGCAACCTCCACCACCTGGGCAAAAGGGATTCTCCTGCCTCAGCCTCCTGAGAAGCTGGGATTACAGGCGCTTGACACCACAGCCAGCTAATATTTGTATTTTAGTAGAGACAGGGTTTCTCCATGTTGGTCAGGCTGGTCTCAAACTCCTGACCTCAGGTTATCCACCCACCTCGGCCTCCCAAAATGCTGGGATTACAGGCGTGAGCCACTGCGCCCAGCCAGCCATGGGAGTGGGCAGTCACGCTGGCTCCAGCCTGAGGCGGCATTTTTCCCCGTCGGAAGACCAGAGCTCTTGCATCTCAGGATAGGGCACCTGTAAGTCAGTCAGCGAAGTCTCTGCTTTAACTGGCCACCGGGGCCATTGTCTTCTGACACAGCCTGGCCAGGAGGCCTGCCATCTGCAAAAGGGAGTTCACTCCTTCTGCTATTTTCATATGAGTGTATCCAATTTCCTGAAAAACAAACCAATTCAAATCTGGTTAATAAGTGGGGGAGTTCTTTTTTAAAATCTGAACTGAAAAAATAAAAAATAAAAACAGAAACGAACTGAACTAGTAGTTTGTTCAAAATCCGCATGCTCCAGCCGGAAAATAAATGCTAAGATGCAATGAATGATGTTTACCTAAAGTTCAATTTGTGTCTTCAAAAGATGCTGGTAGTTCTTTCAAGGATACTGTTAAGAAAATGAGGTGGGAGGCAAAAAAGGCCCTGCTAGAGGAAGGTATTTATCAAACATCTATCTGATAAGGAACTCTCATTCGGACTATATAAAGAATTCTCAAAAATTTAGTAATAAAGGCCGGGCACAGTGGCTCACACCTGTAATTCCAGGACTTTGGGAGGCCAGGTAGGAGGATAACTTGAGCCCAGGAGTTCAAGACCAGCCTTGGCAACACAGGGAAAACTCATCTCTACCAAAAATACAAAACCTGGCTGCTCTCTAAATAAATAAATAGATTAAAATTAAAAATTGGTAGATTTGAAAAGATGTTTCATCAAAGATGATTCTGGATGGCAAACAAGACATAGGAAATGCTCAGATATTAATTAAGGAAATGCAAATTGAAGCCACTATGAGATCTCATCACACGCCTATTAGGTTTGTTTGTTTTTGTTTTGTTTTTGAGATGGAGTCTCGCTCTTGTCGACCAGGCTGGAGAGCAGTGGTGCAATCTTGGCTCACTGCAACGCCTGCCTCCCAGGTTCAAACAATTCCCTTGCCTTACTCAGCCTCCTGAGTAGCTGGGATTACAGGCGTGTGCTACCACGCCCAGCTAATTTTTGTGTTTTCAGTAGAGATGGGGTTTCACCATACTGGCCAGGCTGGTCTCAAACTCCTGACCTCAAGTGATTCACGCACCTCGGCCTCCAAAGTGCTGGAATTACAGACATGAGCCACCGCATCTGATCATTACACACCTATTAGAATGGCTTAAAAACCAAACTGAGCACTCCACGTGGTGGCTAGGTTGAGGATCCTCTGGAATGCTGGTGGGATGCACGCACTAGGCCACTTTGGGAAACAGTCTGGCAGTTCCTTATCAAGTAAAATATACACTTACCATTGGCCCAGACAATCTCACCCCTGGGAATTTACTTGGGAAAAATAAAAACTTAACATTTGCAGTCACGCGAATCCATATACGCAAATGTTTACAGTGACTTTATTCACAGCCACCACAATCTGTAAGCCCAAATGTCCTCCAGCTGCTGAACAGATGAGCAAGCTGTGGTACATTCACACAGATGACCTACCTCTCCGTGATCAAACGGACTGAATTCCCACCTGCAATCCCAGAACTTTGGGAGGCTGAGGTGGGTGCCTCACGAGGTCAGGCGTTCCAGACCAGCCTGACCAACACAGTGAAACCCCGTCTCTACTAAAAATATAAAAAGTAGCTGGGTGAGGTGGCGCACACCTGTAATCCCAGCTACTCAGGAGGCTGAGGCAGGAGAATCACTTGAACCTGGGAGGCGGAGGTTGCAGTGAGTTGAGATCACACCACTGCACTTAGCCTGGGCAACAGAGTGAGACTCCGTTTCAAAAAAGAAAAAGGACTGAAGCATGGATAGTGGCACCAACGTGTACACACCTGAAAGGAACTTCTGCTAAAGTGAAAGAAGCCAAACTCACAAGGCTAAGTTCTACATGGTCCCACTTACACGATATTCCAGAAAATTATATCTCCCAAAGGGAAAGTACATTAGTGGTTTCCAGGTGGCAGGCAGGGAGGATGCTGACTTCAAATGGGCACATTAAGTTTTCTGGGATGACAGATTCTGCATCTTGATTGTGACAGCGTTTGCATGACTGAGTACGTTTGTCCTGTCCCTAACAGGCTGAATTTTACTCCATGTAAATTAAACCCCAATTAATCTGACCTTAAAAATCAATCAATCAGCCAGGCGAGGTGGCTCACACCTGTAATCCCAGCACTTTGGGAGGCTGAGGCGGGTGCATCACCTGAAGTCAGGAGTTCGAGGCCAGCCTGGCCAACATGGTGAGCCCCATTTCTACTAAAAATATTTTTAAAAAGCTGCATGTGGCAGTGCGTGCCTGTAATCCTAGCTACTCGGGAGGCTGAGGCAGGAGGATCGCTTGAACCTGGGAGGTAGAGGTTGCAAGCCGAGATTGCACCACTGCACTCCAGCCTGGGCAACAAGAGCGAGAAACT